CTTTAGAAATACTATTAGGACACGTATCTAAAATAATTCTTCAGTAGTATATGGGATAAGTATTCTCTTTACAGTCGACCTTTTAAAACTGCTCTGGAATGAAGGAACGTTCTGGACAATATAATTTTGCTGGCGACTCGAATGTCTATTTCTCTTTCTACTTAAAAGCAGACTGATCTATTATATAATAAAACCACAGAATATCCTGAGTTGGGAAGGGTACCACCAGGATCACAGAAGTTCAGCTCCTGGCCCTTTGCAGATCACCTCAAGAATCCCACCATGTGCCTGAGATCATTGTCCAAACACTCCTTGAACTCTGTCAGGCCTGGAACTCTGTCAGGCCTGGTGCTGTGACCATTTCTCTGTTCCAGTGCCCAACCACCCTCTGAGTGAAGAAGTCAAGTGTTAAAACTGAGAGAAAGCTCAAAGACTTTATCTAATATTTCCTTTATTGTATGTAATTCATCTAAGGAGATACATACCTCTCCAACATACTCCATCACAAAACTGTTGGTTCTAATTTTCTGGAGGGTTTTTACTCCCCAGCCACGGCCATTGTTGGTTCTGAAGATGCAAAGGGAATACGGTGTACCTTTCTGCACAATCCTATTAGGGCAGTCAGGCCCACACCTACAATAGGAATTGCACTCATAGATGGGCAAGCCAGGCTGGATTTTTAACTTCTTACGTTTATTGTAAGCCAAAATAAACCCAGCCTCCTTTGGACAGCATTTCTCAGCAGGGCAGTCAGCACATTCACAGCCAGTCGTTATTCCATTGAGCACATTTATCCCCGGAGCAGGTTTATACTCATTAATGTAGTAGAAGTCTAAGGGAGGGCCTTCAAGATCCACAGTGTTTTCTACCAGGATCATTGCTTTGTGATTCTTTTTCCTGTTGAGTTCTTCTTTCCATCTCTGCAGGGCTATTCTTTGCTTGGCCTTCTTTACAACATAATCTGCAATGGCAGGTTTCAAAGCTTTAATGTGGTTTCTCACTTTCAGTGCTTTGCCTTCTCTCACCCGAGACAAGTATTCATTCTTGTCACTAAGAAAGTTCTGAAGAAGCAATGGGCAGTTCAGATGCTTCTCAGGTTCCCAAGTATTTGAAGATTCTGGCCATCCTTTCCATTTCACAAGATAGTATTCTTTGCCCTTGAAACACAGAAATAGATATAGATTTAGCCACAGTTCCTTTTACTGCAATCCAGCATCACAGGGCACACAGACAAACAAAAGAGATCTGGAGTTAAGGATCAAGCACACAGTGCAGAGAGCCTTGATGTCCCCATAACAATTACAACTGGGGAGAAAGAGAAAAATCAGGTTTTCTGTTTGCAAATAAAGGACAATTTTGCATACTTTACATATCATCTCTAGGGACAAAGAAAGTAAAACGTGGGATGAATTCTGATCCCTAACAGCATACCTGGAGGAGGAGGCTAATTTGTCAAGGCAGGTGGCACGTTATGCTAACTTGCTGTATGACTCATATGCACAAACAGAATGTAGTTGTAACACATACAGAACAAAAAAAAAAAAAAAAATCCAAAATGTAGCAGCAAAGTCTAAACCCCATTGTTTGTTATATCAACCATCCTCCTAAAGCAGTAATCAGTTTGATACATGTAATACTGTAGTTACAATGAAGCAACATACATTTTGTATTTATTTTAAAAAGGCCAAATAACTGTAACAAGGCCAAATCCTGAGACTGAATTTCAAAGGAATCCAGTTACAGCACATGGCCCTAACTCTTCATCAGACTAAAAGAGTCAAAAGAGAAATACAGATGGTTGTCTGCAAATAAAGGAGAGGCATCATAATTCATACCAAGCTACCACCTAAAGCATCAGCATCTTATTTAAATTCTAGATACATAAAGATTAAACAATTCATATTCTAACATTTCTGTAATTTCAGGAAAAGATCTTCCTTCCACATACTGAAAGCAGCAGTTTATACTGCTTTCAGTTTACAGCTCAAAGTTTAAAAGATAATTAATTTGATGACAGCAAAACTTTGTCCTCACTGCCTGTTGCTTTATATTATGAACAAAACTACCTTTAGCTCACTTCCAAATTTCAGCTGAAAGAGTGATCAAATTGGTCTGTGTTTCTCTTACCTCTTCTACCTTGTAGTCACACAAATATTCCACCTCATAACTCTTTAGACTCCTGTTGGTGATTCCAATGGATTTACATCTGAGATTTTCCTTCCTACATAATTCTTGGAGGGTCTCAAGTGAAGCTAGACATGGCACATACCAGGCTACAATAAGAAAATTGGTAAAGAATCCTATTTAATGTCTCGGCTAAATTGAAATCATTATTGCCCTATCCCAGAGTCCCCACATTACCATTTGTGACAGCAGTCCACGAGTCTCTTGTACAGCAGTAGCGTCTCAGACTCAACCGTTCTCTAACGGGTCAAGTGAAACACACCAATGATTCCCTCCCTGCACCTTTATTCTGCACAGTACGTTCATTTATAAAGAACAACAAATATCTTGGAGGACAGAGACTTCCACGGGCAAAAGCTGCACTAAGCGCCGAGCAATTTTCCTGCAATTACAGCATCCCATAACTGAACCAAGGCAAGAAGGAAACCTCCATTCTTTAACAGACCGCCAAATTTCTGTAGCCAAGCGCAACGGAGCACTCGCGATGCAACCATGGAGACTGGAAGAGGAAGCAGAGACCCACGGCGCTCTTCCAGAAGGATCGCGGGTGCCCTGTCAGCCGGGCGGGTTTCAGGGGACGCAACACCCCGCGGGGCGCCTCGGCGGGAGCGCCCGGGAAGCACCGGGATGCCGGGGTGGGATGGAGCGCAGCGCGGGAGCCGCGGGGCCGTGCCCGGGGCTCCGCGGGGCTCTGCCGGTCCCAGCGCCAGGAGCTCGGGAAGGCGGGAGGAGGCGGCGGTGCCTTTTCCGCGGCCGCGCCGGGACCCAGCGTCTTTCCCACCTCCCGCTCTCCTCCCACAGCGCCCCTGGGGCAGCGGGCGGGATCCTCAGGGAGGCAGGCAGACCCCCGGGGCAGCAGGCAGGACCCCCAGCCCTTCCCTCCGCGCCCCGCCGAGGGGCTGCGGGCGGGGGCGGTGCGGACGATCCTGACGGAGCCGGGGAGCGGCAGCGGCTCGCAGCACCCAGAGCGGGCGGGAGCCTCCCCTCGCGCCCTCGCTCGGTCCTCGCCGCCCCCCCATCGCCCGGCGCAGAGCGGGCAGCGCCCCGGGCGGCCCCGACCCCGGCGCGCTCCCCCCTCACCTCCTCGCCAGCCCTCCATCTTGGGGGGGGCCGCGCTCGGGCCGCGCCGGCTCCGCCCCCCGCCGGAAGGGGGCGGGGCACAGAGCGCGGCCCTGGCGCGCGCGGGCCCCGCCCCTCCCCTCGCGCCTCAGCCGTGAGGAGCTCCCGGCGGGACCCGGCCGGGAACGCGGTGGGACAGGGGGCACAATGGAACGAGGCGGATTTGAAGCTCCCCCGGGCCCATCAGCGGCAAAGCTGAAAGGAGGAACCGCGGAGAAGCGGTTCACGCACTTGTGGGAAAAAAAAAGTTACACCATGATCGCAGCGCCCTCCTCAAATGCGGTGTTTCCTATTCATGTGGCTTTCGCAGAATCCATCAGTTTGGAAAACACCTCACCTTGAGGTCATCGAGTCCAACCTGTGACCCAACACCACCTTGTCAACCAGACCAGGGCACTGAGTGCCACGTCCAGTCTTTGATGGTGAATTCACCACCTCCCTGGGCAGCCCATTCCAATGTCTAATCGCCCTTTCTGTGAAGAAATTCTTCCTAATGTCCGATCTAAATCTGCCCTGGCACAGCTTAAGACCGTGTCCTCTCGTCCTGTCACTGGTTTTCTGGGAGAAGAACCTGAACCTGTAGAGAAGTTTGCTCCAAACTCCATAAACCCACACCCAACCAAAACAGTGCCTCAGTGTCTCTTCATGAGTATTTATAAGGCTGTGGAGCTCCACTGCCCCTACATTCCCAGACTCTGGCTTTTCCAAGATCCCTTTTAGAAGTTTTCACAGAGGAACCAGTGAACTGCAGGCCTGTCAGTCTCACTTCAGCAGTAAAATTATGGAGAATATTCTGAGAGGTATTATAAAACACCTGGAGGACAATGCAGTCACTGGTCACAGTCAGCACAGCTTCATGAAAATCTTGCTGGACAAACAACTTCCTTTTACAACAAGGAATCCCACCCAGTTAGCAGGGGAAGCCAGTTGGTGTTACATCTTTGGATTTCAGTAACGCTTTCGGTACTGTCTCACAACAGTATCCTTCTGGATACAGCTGAATAACCATGTTACACAACAGGCAAGCAACTGGCTCAGAGGTTGGACACAAAGTTACAGAGAAGGGGATGACATCAGGCTGACATCCAGACACTTGCGAGGTTCCACAGGGCTCCATCCTCAGCCTAGGGAGGTAGTCCTACCACCAAGCCTCTCAGATCAGAGAATGTTTCAGACATATGGAGTGAGTTTTGAGGTTACTCTGTGCAGAGCCAGGAGTTGGACTGATGATCCTTGTGGATCCCTTTGAACTCAGGATATTTTATGATTCTATGAACTATTCACTCATTTTCCAAAGCCAGGGATAAGGTAGGCCTAATTTTTTTTCCTTTTTCACAGGCTACTATGCCATACAGTATCTATTGCTTTTGTGAGATAGGAGGAATATTGAAATACAAGATAATTTGAGAAGCTTGTATTAAAACAGATAATTGAACATAGGTCTCCTCAAATCCAGACAGGTAGCACTACCCTAGTTTTTATCTGATTTTGAGGGTCTTTGTGACATTTTTACTATTTTACAACACTTGGCTGTCAGCTTGAACTGTTGCCCCTTAACTGCACATTAGGCTGAGACCCTCAAATCCCATAACTACACTTGCCTGCTCCATCTCCTTACTGAAAACTCCTGCAGCTTATGCCCAAATATATGGCATACAGGTTGGAACAGTGCCACACAGAATGGAGAATGCCAAGTCTGCATAAAAAAATGTATTTCAATAACACATAAATAAGCACATTTAACTCTTACACATATTTTTCAGGTAATACCACAAAACCAATTTACAGTTACTCCAGAAAAGAAAAACAACATAAAACCCCAACAGCTCAACAGGCCAGCATGAACAGACACCACCTTCATGGTTTTGGGCAACATCAAGACCTCACAGAATTTCAGTTACAATCTGGTGCAGTTATCAGAGAGTGGATTTTCACCAATAGGGTACAGGACCTGAAAAGTACCTGAAAGGAGAAATCTTCAGACTGTGTATGTAATAGCTGAACCACAGGCACAAGCATTTGTGCTTTGCATTTTTTAAATCGAGTGCTGATAATTCAATGATCTGCTGTCTGCATGTCTTGATTAACATATTGCACCATGCCTTCCACTCCAAACAGACTTGGTGGCTAATTAATGTGTTGAGTTTATTACAGTCCTCTAAGAATCAAAGACATCCCAGAGAGTCATTGCTTTGGCAGAGAAGGAAGTAAGAGACAAAAATCAACTTAGAAAAATGTTGCCTTTCACAACAGGCTACGATGCCACTTCAACAGTGATGATTTCACACTTCCCGGTATCTTGATCCGTGCAGGTAACGTGCAAGGACCCATCCCTAGGTAAAAGAGAGGGATATGTTTAGGACTCAACACAACACTCAGGATGCCACTGCATGTTCCAGAGAGAATAAACAACAGCCTTCACACCAATGAAAGGAAGAAAGATCAGCATCAAAATATCCAGGGAAGAAAATATTTCAACACAGATGAAAGTGGTTTATAAAATTAAGTTTAGTTTAGTGAGTGTTTAGATATGGGTTTCTTGCTCTTATAGCATCTATCTTCTCCACATATGCTGAATCAGACTCAGGAATGTGTTTAAATACTGTAATTGAGTGTACTTAGTACAGGTTTATAAATAGAATATGTGTAATATTATTCAAAATATTCATTGTGAGAACTGAGTAACAGCAACAGACTGATAAGAACATCAAAGCATGAGAACTCGACTTTTAAAAAAGTGTAAGTAGCCTTTAAATTCCAAGGATCTTCTTCAACAAGGAAAACCCTTATTTTGAAAATCCAGGAATTAAGAGACAGTAAGTAGTGAATCCCACTTCAGCTAGACACAGACACACAAAATATTCAGATAGAAATAAATGTGCTCCACTGAACTTTCTCTCTCTTTTCACCTGTTACTTAAACCTCCTTTAAAATAATGCCCTTTTTCTGCATGACAGAGTTGCATCTATAATCCCTATGATGCTTTTCTCACCAGTGCTAAGTGCAAATCTCTGCATGACAAACAAGGTATTTTAGGTGAGGTCTATTAACAGGCTTTAATACATGTGATAGCCACGGTAATAAAATTAAATATTTTGAACTGAAACAACAAGTGTTGGTTTAGTTTTTCAGCAACATCTACACAACTTACGAAAATAATATGAAATTCAGGGCAGCCCTGAGAAGACAAAGATGCCTTGACTACTTAGAATTCCACCTTCAGATATCTTTATAAACTATTTAGACTATTTCAAATGAGCCCAAGCACTCCTATTAAGGCCTAGGGAAGTTAGAGAGATTTTTCCAATATCCTGTCATCCCCATTCCGCCATAAAACCTTCATACAAACTTCATACTTTCCTACAAAAAGACCCCAGATGAACACGTAAAAAGTAGATTTATCAGTCCCGATTTCCTGTGGCACTGTCTCTCTACTTAAATCTGCCTCTGAAGGGACAGAGCCACAGGTTTTCCCTGCAAATGCTGCAACGCTTCATGGATTCCTTTGTAACTAAAAAAGACAAAATATCCTTCAGTTTTTCCCAAGAGTGCGGGCAGAACTACCCAACCCCCTTCCACGGGAAGTTTGAGATCCTGACTGCACTCAAGCATGGTTAAACTGATCAACAGTTCAGAAGTTGCTAAAAATAACCTATACAATTGTATTACAATTTATTTCTTTAGAAATCAAACAATGAAAACACTGAAGGTACGGCAGAAAACCCACATTCCTACAGAGTTTGCCCCTGCCAGGACTGTACAGCCCTGTAAGCAATGAAATGCTGAAATTTCTCAATACAAAATTAAACATTCTGTACCAGGAGCAAAGACTGCTTGTGTCACAAGTGGGACACAGCAAGGTAAACAGCAGAGCAATAAATATTTTGGGTACCTTTTCATAGTGAGAACAGTTAGTATATCATGTAGGCCATCCTCCTTTTTATCTAAATCCTGAAGTACAATCTATTAAAAAAAAAAAAAAAAAGGAGTTAAATTGTAATCAAGTTCTCCAAACTCCTGTGCAGCAGTTTAATGGAAGCGACACAACAGCTCCGATGTGAAACACATTGTTTAGCAACTTGTACTGGTAATTCCAAATCGAGGCATGCCCTAGTGGACTTCCTTTATCTGTAGTGCCAATTGATGTATTTTTAGCTATTTGTACTATTGTTTCTGTGCTTTTGTTTCAGGATTTATCACTGAGATAGCTGGAGACCTACAACTGCCACAGCCTACAGTAAGAGCTGAGCATCTCCCTTCACTTAGGATCAGTTCTGTAATTATTAGGTACACATCCTTTCCCTATCCCTCTAAAGATATTTGGGCAAGACTAAGGTAGAATAAATATTTTCTCAAATATTCCACCAATTTCAGACACATCTGCCCCTTCCCTGATGCTTTCCAAGGAAAGCACATCATCACTGTTTTAAACAAGATGTGTTCTCTCTGTAAATTGACTCCTGAGTAAGATCTTTAAATCCTCACTTGATATAATCATATCATCTTACAACTGCGAAAAATCAAATTTAATATGTAATACCAAGATCCTACCCAATCTAGGAAGATCAAAAAGTAATCAGCAGTACACACACTAGCTACATCATTATATTGAGCAGTTTTATATTTAAAATGCTGGAAATCTGTGCCCTACTGGAATGACTGAAATCTCTCACCCCAGTTGAGCTTATTACAGTAGTGCCAAACATCAAGCCCTGTCATGCATTTAGGAATGAAAAAGGGAAACTTCAGTTTCTTTATAATGTGCTTCAATACTTTGCATGTAGAGAAGAATGATTGAAGACTGATGTCCAGAGAGATGCAAGTTTTCTAACAAGTTTTGGTAGAGGTGGGATTGGTTTCCATTTTTTTCAGATCCAACAGATTTTCCAGTGGCTGCTATTAGGAGTGCACGAGTGTGTACATACTCACCTGTGCAAATTTATCTTCTTCGTTCATGGGACCTTTCCCCAACGACTCGTACAGTTCAAGGCACACAGAAGAAATGTTTCCAGGGGCATGCAGGGTGTGCTGCCTTCGAGCTGGCAGTGGTGTCCCTGATGGAAATAGCACTGTGAATTTGTCAGCCCCTGACTCGTCTACTCCCTTTAAAAAGAAAAAAAAAGTTCACGTCTTTCTCTAAGTGCTTCACTGAGCTGGAATTGTCACAACAATGCTCCACAAGAAAAGAAATCCAACATTCATTCCCTCTGCCACATTTACCATCACAACAGCAACAACAAAAAATAAAATAAAATAAAAAAAAAAAATAAAAATTGACATTCCTATAAAGTAAAAGTCCAGCTATTACAACACAGAAAAGATACAATCTATCTCCCCTTGAAATCAAGCCATTTTTCCTGTCATTTTTCTGTCAATGAATCCAAGTTACCACATACTACTGACCTATGGACAATCTGTAGAAGTAATAAAACAATACTGTTTCTCTAACATCAATCATTAGTGTTATATATTCATTGCAGCTGTAAAATTTTCTAATATTCTAATTTTAGCCTTACCTTTAGAAGAATATCTTTGGCAGAACACTCAATAAGTGCTTCTTCTTCTAACAAGGTATTCTCTTTTCCTAGCAGAATTCCTGCCTCTATGGCTGCACCGATGGGAATAACTTCATCTGGAGGAATTGAATTCAGTAACTCCACAGTTGGGAAAATGTCTTTGATCAGCTGCTGTAGCTTTGGGATTCGAGCAGACCCACCACACAGAACTACCTGGAAAACATGACATAACAATTTCAAATCTTTCTGCTGTCAAATAAAACAGACAGGTCACAACCTGCAAACTGCTCTCGGATACTTAATTAACTGTAGTTGTTACAACAAAAACTGATGTAATCTCTGGATGACTTCTGATTCTTTTGCATTTGAAATGAAAGGAAATATGGTGTCTTGAAAATGTGTTTCTTATAGCAGGAATCAGCTAGATAAAGTAATGTTTTTAGAAATTGATTCATCACAAAAATAGCATCAGGTTGGAAGAGACTTCCAGAGATGGTCTAGTCCAACCTCCTGGCCAGAACAGGCGGAGTTACAACCTGCTCAGGACATTACCTACACAGATATTCCACAGACTCTGTGGGCCCTTATTTCAGCATTTGATTTCCCTCACACCACAAATTCCTTTCTTGGAATCTAAAGTTTCCCCATGCTGTAACCTGTGCTGCTTGCCACTCACCCTTCCGTCATGCACCCGTAGGAAGAAGCAATTCAGGTTTTGTCCTTAATTCCAAGTCTTACTAGCGACTTTGTTGAAATCAGCCAGATTTGGAAACAAAGCTAATTCCTACTTTTCCTCATGTAAAACATAACTTAAGAGTTGCAAATCAGGTTCATTTATTTTTACATTTGAAGTGTTTCCTCCCAAAGCATTGAGGCCTGAGAGCCTAAAAGGCCACCTAAAAAAATACTGCCACTAGAAAACAAAAGCTGTTCTCTGAACAGTGGCCTGGGATGCTTCATTATCCACCAGGAAAACTGAGATGTGACACAGCAAACACTAATTAAGAGTCTGAAATAGCATTAAGTGTCATTAAAAGCACCAGTCAGTTTCTTCAGAAGAGTCAGCAAACCCCATGCAATGCTCAGTGAAGGCAAAAGCAAGGTCATATACTGAACTTAAGGAAGGTATTCCTCAGCTCTACCAGGAGTTACACAAACACACAAAATTGAGACCAATCATCTCCACTTATTCAATATACAGCAGTAAAAACGCACCACTGAATTTGACTCTACCTTATACTTAACTTCAAGTAACTGAAATCAAAGCAAATATAGGAGTTCTAAAGATTTGATAGACTTTGTTGAATCCCAGTAAAAATGCTTAAACATATCATGAAATACTCTCAGTCTGCAAGGAAAACAGGCCCTATAAATACTGTTTTTAGGGAGCTAAGCACACTACAGACAAGTGACTTCTATTATTACCTTATTAATATCATCTGCTGTAAATCCAACTTGCTGCAAAAGGTTTTTAATGGCTTCTACACATTTACTAAAAAGTGAAGAACAGATAAGTTCAAACCTGGCCCTAGAAAAAAAACACAAAAAAACCATTCAAGAAGCGTCATCTCATCTATTACAGACAAATACCTGAAATGGAAGAATGATCATTTTTAGAATATTCTTTGGTTCTCTAGCTATACCTGTGTCATGGTTTGAGAACTCCAGAATCCAATTCCCTAGTCCAAACCCCCTCCCACATCTCAACCCTGTGGGAGATGGGTTTTTCCAGACACTACACGAGACTCAAAATGGGGGAAAAGGGAATATATTACAATGACTGTACAAATAAATACTACAATACATTATATACAATCTTAACTACCTCTACCATGACAACCTGGTATTTAAGGATTAAAAAAAATATCTTCTTTTCCAATTATTAATCTTGAAGTGATTCTGTTGTTGTGAAAGTATCTGATTAATTCCACCACTAACACCTACATGGAATGCACATTCATTCTTCTTCAGTGTACTATAGAGAAAAAACAGTATTGTCTCAAACATTTGTCTCAACAAAACCCAGCATTGCTGTCTTGACTCATATGTGAAAAAATAAAGCAGCAAACATTCTGGAACCGTTTCATCACCTTTAAAATGGACACAAAGACTCCATTTGGAAATTTCAGAGGAAAATCAAGCTGTGTCCTGATTTGCACATGGGGAATACGTTAAGTTTTTTAAAAAAGAAACTTGTGCTTGCTTTCATCTCTTTCAAGCCTGAAGAGGAAGTTTTACTCTGTAGGAACACAGCAAGTCAAAGTCTGCAGCACTAGTCCACAGGATTAGCATCCTTATCCAAAAGAGAGCCAACCCAAGTTACACAGTACTGCTTCTCAAGCTTGAAAACATGCTGTGCTTTATTGTAGCAGCTCCAACTTCTGCAGCAATGGATGCACAGCTCTGGAATGGAAAAGTCTATTTTATTTTGCTAAAGCTGCTGCAGTCTGGAAGAGCAATCGAAGTGAGCTAAACATCTAAATAAGTATCATCCCAAGGGAAAAGAGACTTAAGAGTAGGACAGAGCAGTACAAAGAAACAGAGAACATTTTTCTACTCCAGCTGTCACTGAGGCAGCATCAACTTCCATGACACCTATCATTCTGGAGCTCATTTAGATGAAGAGTAAAAAAGTCTTCTTTTCTTTAGGGAAAATACAACAACAAAACCACTAAGGGGGAAGAAACAGCCACCTTGCTTCACTACAGTATCTATTCCCCTTCAATCAACAACCACACTCCAGAGATGGGGTCTCCTTGTGCCTTTTTTCACTTTATTTTCTAACCATTAGGGCAACACTCTGTTACTGCCCTAACTATACAGATTGCAGCATAACAGAACCATCAGTATGAAACAAAGCAAGTTGGCCTTCTGTCTTCTGTTTCCAAAATAAATGCCACCGGAAATCAAAGCTTACTGAAATTCCTAAATATCACCTAGGAAGATTTCAAGAACAGTTTTATATAAAGGCAGTAGCTTCAAGACTTGCCTTACCTGGACACGTTACAATCAAAATCCAATCCATCATACAACGAATCTACAAAACAGTTTGCACTTCCCAGGGTCGATAGAGAGTGTTTAGCAATATCAGCACTGTTCATTAACTTCATCATGGCTCTGGGGTTTCCTCTAATATCATGTTTACAAGACCTGTATTAAAAAAAACCCCAGAATATACCATTTAGAAAGGCAGGAATTTGACTGATAACGGTAACTTTCTGAAAGGAAAAAGTTTAGAGCTATTAAACTCTTTCTGTAAACATTTTAGTATTAACTACAATGCCACTATTGAAAGCTTGCCAAGAAAAAGTATATATTTCAGTTTCAACTAGAGACCACTGTGAGGAGGCACCTTGAACTCCGGCATTAGTGTTTATCATACAGATTAAAGTCTCTGCACAATTTCTCAGATGAACAAATTCTGTAAATGGCTGCAAGGAACAGCAAGAAAAGCTCTGCAAGTTACTGATTTTTAACCACAGATTAAGAAGAAACAGAACAGTGACCGTTAGACATGTCAGCAAAATAGTAAGTTTTATCCAAAAAGTCTTTTTGTGGCAGTATGCAACGGACCACCTCAAGACCACTGAGCTAATGGTTACGCATTGGTTCATCACAGGATGGCGTGACATACAGACCTGATACAGCCTGATGACATACAGACTTCAGCCTGATGACCCAAGGCCCTCCACAGGCTTCCACACCAAGAAAACCAAACAAAACCACACAGTCAGTTCCCTGACACCCCAAAAGCTTGTGACTGAAAGTATGGAAGCAGCCTGTAGTCACACACATCACTCAAAACACAGTAGAGTTCATAGCTGAGCTGTTATAGTTCAACATCAACTCCAGGCAACATCCACACAAAGCCAAGCATTTCCCAGTCTTCCTCCTCAGCCCCCAACAACTGACTGTTCCTTTAATATCTTTATTTGAGTCATTTCACTCACAGACAGTCTGCTAGATTTTTTTTTTTTTTTTTTAAATCAATAATGAAGTTCCTGTCCTGGGAACATGCTTGGAATTCAAAACTCACCTCTGAAATTCAGAAGCTAAGTGTTGTGCCAGAGCTTCTGTGAAGCAAACTCCACCAATGCTGTCATCCGTGTTTGTAGCAAGCACACGATATATCCCACTGTTTACTTCTATGACTGTGATAGAAAGCGATGTCCCACCAAGTTTATAAACCAACACATTGCTGCCATGTTAAAAAAAAATATTGAAAGTAGCATGAATCAGCCAGCAAAAAAGATATTAATTTTGACACACTGTCTATAAAGATTACCGCCAAATAATGTACTGCAGGTTTTAATCAGTTTTCTCAAGATAATTTGATTTAAGGTGTTTGTGTTTAATGCATCTCAGTAGTCCTGACTGCTTGACAATGTGCTCTAAAGAACAAAATTAGTCTGTTTCATACAGTGAGAGTAGCCAAGGTTTCTCCTTCAACACAACTGAGAACTAACGTTACTTTCAAGGTTACAGGCAAGAAGTATATGAGAAGGGTAAAAAGGGTTGCAGTTTTCTTCAAGCCAATCAGTTCATTAAAGAGAAAGTAAGACTCTGGGCACAAATCTTCAAAGGCAATTCTAAAAATATAAAAACCAAACCAAAGCGATTTAAAACACTACAGAATTACAACTTCTAAATAGTTATTGGTTTTATTGAGAGAAAAAAAAGAAAAACAAGCCTCAAATCATTAATTTTGTATTGACTGCTAAGGCAACACAGCATCCCCTCATTTAAGATTTCTTGGGAGCTAAGTACAGCAGCTTAAATTTAAGAAGTAAAATATTAGGATTTTACCTTTTCCCAGTGGGTGAGTCCTGGCCAATTCCATAAGCAAGGAGAGCTGCAGATGGTTCATGGATTAATCTCATAACATTAAACCCAGCAGCTGCAGCTGCTTCCCTGCGATAAAGCACAGCAGCATTTCATTTTCCTTTAATGGTTTCACTGTAGTCACACACTATTAACATTTCATCTGAACTCAGAACTTGGTTACAGCATGGTATTAGCAAAGCCAAGTGACTGGAAAAGGAAGGCACTAAGTTCAGTTGCTATTGTGTTCTTGAGGTAGTTGGATCTGCTGTGTGCTTACTGTCAATGAAAACTCTCATATATCAATCTACATAGCCCACAAAAACTGCAAAACCCCCTTCAACCACAAGATTAAAACCCATTCCCTCAATCAAACTTGGTAACTTATCTTCAGGTGTGGTATTAAAAGCTCTCGATACATTATTTCAACAGGCAACATGCTAAAGAAACCACTTTGCTTCAAAATTAAGTTACCAGGCCTCACTTGTAACACTTTCTTTACATGTTTTCTGGAAACTTCAGTAACCCTGGGACTGCCCTGCAACTTGTTCCCTCCACTTTGAAATTATTTTGAAACTGTTATACCAGAGCAATAGATAAGTACTGCAAATATCCAGCTCACTCATGTTTTATGACCAACTTTTAGGTGCATTTTAAGTATTTCATGACAGTTAAACATAAGGGTTTCCACAAAGCAGAAGTACTACTACTACATATCAGCATCTACTACGGAACAGCAGATGCTGCCAATTATGCTCAGCTTTAAGCATACTTATGTTTTCATACAGAGGAACTGTAACAGCAGAACTGACTCCAAAGGGACTTTCCAAATAGAATAGTGGTGTATTTTCCACATCTGAACTCTGACAAAAGAGTCCTCAGCAAGTCATGTAACACCACTTGGTTTTGTGAGTATCAAGGAAGGGAAATTAAAGAGGGTGAGAAACTATTTCAAAGTTTCAAAGGTGACACTGAAGATCCCGATCTGAAATGATGTTCTGTCCCTTGATGATACCAAAATTCCCTCTCTCTATAAATGATTCAGAATGTCCTTTTGGTTACATCAGTGAATTCCATGAAAAATTTCTAAACCCAGGGTTTAATCTCCTGCTTTAATATTTTCCCCATTCAAATAACATCCCAATATCTTGACAGTCACAAGCTGAAGTCCAGCAGGAGAATTGCCACTGCTGATCTTCCAGCCTGTCTTCTTTAGGTATGTTAAGTAACAGAAAAATCTTAATCCTCTTACCCAAGGGCATTTTTCTGATTCTCTCCAAAATCAAATGGCACAGTGACAACAACATCGTTTACATCTGAACCCAATGCAGACTGAGCAGTCTCTGTTTATAAACACAGGCAGAACATGTTATTAAAAGCATAAAAAACCAATATACTACAACTTAAAAATATGAGAACAGCTTAACAAGCTAAAACGTGTTATGATTTCAATTATTATATACCTTTCATTTTACTGAAAATCAGTTTTGCCACATCTTCTGGGTTAATAAGTTTATTATCTATTTCATATTGAAGTTTTCCATTCTTCTCAATTATCTGTAAGCAAAACCAACACACCTTTGTTAGATATGCAATATGGTTAATAAAAAACCATAATGCTTAATTTAGTTTCTGTTCAAAGTAAAAAGAACTAGACTGTGTAAATACTCTCTATTACAAGGAAATAAATGCTTCCAAGATGCTTATCAAAGATTACGAAAAGACCTGGATCATCTGACACACACAACAGTGACATTCAAAGACTTAAAGACTCCAGACTTCCTTTTTCTATTAAGTTTTCCTTAGTACAAAAGCAACGTTTAGTACAAAAGTGCTTGCCTGGTTATATCCCATAAGAAAAAGCCCAGCAATTTATAAAAGCACATCGATACAAACAGCCTAAACCCAGGGAAAAACTTGCTGCTTCTTTATGAATATATTTGCCAGGATACTTTTTTCTCTTGTTTTGCAAAATTTTCTAGTAACAAGCACAGCATTATTCAAATTAAACTTGTATTTAAATCAAGTGGTTAAGCATTTTTATCACAAGGTGCTGTAACCTGAACACCTTCTACCAGCACTAAGAAAACCCACAATGCTAATACCCAAATATATTAAGATTCATCCCTTTAAGAATGTCCATGAGATAGGTAAGAATTTTTCTGTTGGACTATGTCATGCTGGCAGATCTCAGAACATGGTTATCTACTTGATAAAAACAGAAACACAGCAGCAAGTGGACCTCATATGAAGAGCTGATCATTACAGAACACAGACATGAACGGCACAAACAAGGACAAGAAGAAAAATATAAAGTTATATAAGTTACTCTGGGAACAGCAGAAATCCCAGATCATACTCACAGAGCACTTGCTTTCTGCAATATATTTCTCTGCCTGAGGGTCACCAGCGCTGTCCAGACAAATTCAAAATAACAAGATAAATCATTTGCTCAAGGGTAATTGCACAAATTCACCTTGCTCATTTTCCTTATAACCATCTTCAATATATCAAACTATACTTCCACCAAAATTCCCGTTTCCTCTCTAAAGATGCATTTATACAGTAGAAATAAAACCAACAGTTCTGACTTTCAATCTTCTTTCCATAACTAATGATTGAAAAAATACCTACTAGTTAGGGAAAGGGGAAAACAAAACCCCACACATTGTTTCAACCTGCTATCCCCAGTGATCACTATAAAAGATCCCAATAAAGTTCTGACGTGAAAAGTGCTGGGAAATACATCAGAATGGACAACACGAAGGAGCTGTAATACACAGCTGGATCATCACTAAAAAGTTCTGGTACATGTCTGATGTTAGATCTAACCAACAACCAACTAGAACAACCCAAGTTTTGTTCTAGTCACTGTAATTGCCAGTGCAAGCCATCGCAGTTCCATTGACTGAGGAATCACAACAGTGTGTTTTCAGTATTACAATAAAAGTTTCATGCAAACAAAGCCACAGTGCATTTTACATGCAGAAAAACAACCCATTAACAAGACATTTTAGTTAAGAAATTTAAGTATATATAAAAAAGCACATGTGCAACTTGTTACTAAATTTCACAGTTTGATTTTCGCAGACAAATTCACACCTAAAATACTACACACCTCTTTGCTCCTGGAATGAAATGCAGGCTAAGAAGTTAATAATATAAACCTGGTCTAGTGGACAGTGTGCCTTCCATGTGCCCCACTACAGGGGGGTGAAATAAGAGGATCATTAAGGTCCCTTCCAACCCAAAGCATTGTGACTATGATAACAGAACGATTTTTTTCAGAGATTACATGCCAATGCCAGGTTAAATTAAATACTGTCACAATACAGTAAAATGCCTCCAGCATCAGCGCTGAGAGGTTTCACCGACCAGCTTTAACGGAGAAAACCAAATTTCTCACTGCTCCTTCCACACCCGTTCTCTTACCTTCGCCCGAGGATCTGCTTTACTTTCACTACGGTGTTCGAAATATTTCTGATCCTACTCTGCTTTGCGGCTAAGCCAACCACCTGAATAAAAAAAAAATAGTAAAAAAAAAAAAAAAAAAAAAAAAAAAAAAAGTGAGCATTTAAAAAAAAAAAAAAAAAAAAAAAAGTGAGCAGCACGCAGAGCCCCCCTCCCTCCTCCCCTCAGCCTCACCTCTTCGCTCTCCGAGAACGCCACAACCGCGGGGGTGACCCGGNAAAAAAAAAAAAAAAAAAAAAAAAAAAAAAAAAAAAAAAAAAAAAAAAAAAATTTAAAAAAAAAAAATAAATAAAAAAAGTGAGCAGCACGCAGAGCCCCCCTCCCTCCTCCCCTCAGCCTCACCTCTTCGCTCTCCGAGAACGCCACAACCGCGGGGGTGACCCGGTCCCCGGCGTCGTTGGCGACCACGTCTGCGCGGCCATCCTGAGGGGAGAGACAGAGACACCCGTGAGCTGCCCCTCGGGGATTCTCCGCCCCGCCCCGGCCCGCCCCCTCAGACCGGCAGGGACCCCCAAGCAGCCCCCCAGCCCCGTCCCCCCCTCACCTTGTAGACGGCGGCGCAGGCACAGGTGGCTCCCAGATGAACCCCGATGGCCGCCATCGGCCCCACCCGCCCCGACCTGCACCGCGCGCGCCCGCCCCTAGCCAATCCCGCGCCGCACCGCCCGCCCGTCACCGCCGGGACAGCCAATGAGAAAAGCAAGGAGAGGCGCGTCACCGCGCATAGCAACGGGCGGGCAGACTCTGCTGGGGAGGAGAGGGGGTTTTGGCGGGAAGCGGCGCTGAGGGGCGGCAGGTCCGTGACCGGTTCTTTGACGCCGACACACCTAGAGTGGGGGGAAATAGAGGTGGAAGTGGAGAAGTTAGAAAATAGAGACATTAAAATAGAGATTAAAGGGGAGAAAGCAGCAGCTGTATCATTCACATGTTGCAGCGTGTGTGTTTCATCACCGTGGCACCTCTCATGATTTAAATGCAGGCAATGGAGTGCATGGAGACGTTGTAAATCACAGAATCACAGGATCAATTACGTGGGAAAAGACCCCTGAGACCATCGAATCCAACCTATGACTGAAAAACACCCTGCCAACCAGACCAGGGCACTGAGTACCACATCCAGTCTTTCCTCAACACCTGCAGGAATAGTAACTCCACCAACGCCCTGTGCATTGCATCCCAGTGTCTAATCGTCCTGTGCATTGCATTCCAATGTCTAATTACCTGTTCTGTGAAGGAATTCCCCCTAATGTCCAACCTTTCTATATTATGGAAATATTTCTGTGTCCAATGCTTCAGGTCAAGCTGAAGCGCTGGTTTTGCATCATCCGACGAGGCGTGACTGGTGCCTGAAAGCAAAGCTTGGTGTCTCACAATGTTGCACTGCTATTGGAAAAACACACCATCAATACTACAGGAGAAGGGGGGAAAAAAGAAAAAAGGAAATTATTTCTACATTTCTATTGTCAGCCCTGGGGAAATCAGCACCATTTGCACAGAACATCATTCACACATCCTGGCCAGAGCTATCATGCTGAAGGCTCCTCAGATTTTGTGTGTCCCTGCAAAGGGCGTTGCAAAGTTACCAGAGAGCAGGTCACCCAATGTTTGCAGCCTCACACTGTACAGATGACAGCACGTGTGCAGATTTGGGTGCTTATTTGCATCTCATTTCCATAGGGAATCTAAATGCCCTCATGGACCATCTCACTGCGTCGTTCTCAAGATTGTCCTTATCCTCCTTTATATATGATATATCAAAAGTTAAAGCAATGAATTAAGATCACATAGAGGTGAAATGAGTTACTCGGAGTTGCAAAGGGATTTTGTGTCCCAAAATGGATCCTGGCTTTCTTAAGTCACAGAACAATCTTCCTTTGGGTTACTGAGCTTGCTGAAGTCTGACCAAAGGCTGGAGCTCAGATGCCAGCAGACTGTGCTCGGGAGATGATGGCAATGTTGATAAAGGTGAAGCTTATACAACTGGAAACAATACCTTTGAAGTTTGTCCAAATTGTAGCTCCTTTCTGTGTCCTCTTGTAAATGGAGGACTTCAAAGAGAAAAAGGGTAGAGGTGAGCATGAGAGACCTGTGGGGACTGGAAAAAGGTATTGTAGAAGAAAGGCATGATAAAAGTGATGCTTTTGACAAAAGAAAAGATGAGGAGAATCTGGGAAGAGACACTGAAGACAGGAGGATAAAGCAGAAGAGAAGTCCATGGTATGGAAACCAAGAATATTTTTCCCACGCTTTCCCCCAAATCCTAATACTGTTTGCACCATTTTTGGCAATATGCTGGTATTTAGAACCTAAGACAGTATGTGTAATCTGTGCATTAAAAAGGGCTTGTGGCCATACTGGTAACATCTCCTACTCGGACAGGCACATTCACAGTTATTTTCCAGTTGTTGTTATGCCATGGACATATCTATATGGACACAGAGAAGTTCTTCTTATCTTAACTAAAGCAGTTATTGTTCCTTCCAGGTGTAAAAAAGCCTAAGTGAAGCAGGCAAGAAATGCCTTAGCTGAGGTTTGTGGGGGCAAGTAATGTTTGTTGAGTAGTGAAAACCCCTTCCCTGTCTGTGTCCTTCTTATCTTTTTGGGAAGTGTCCTTAGCTAATAGGAAGCTCACAGGCTGTGCTGAGCTTGAGTGAGCTGAGAGATGGGGCAAACAACTCACCACTAAATAAAAGTGGAAGCAACATCCTGGATTCAGGATACAAAAGAAATTAAACCTTCACACCTCTGTGAGAGCTGTCCCTCTGAGTCACGAGGAGCAGGAGAAACATCCAGCCCCAGTCTGACTGGAGTCCTGCATATCTTCAGGCACCTACATCCAGCAAACGAGCCCACCAGGCTGCCCCATTATCAAACTCACCTCAGATTTAGCCAGGTACTCTGCTAAAACCCCTTAGTATTATTCCCACCTGACAAAGCAGTGTCACAAACCTTCCCAACATTAGAGCTACCCCTTCCCTCCCAGTCCATGGCACATCTCTCAGCCATCCAAAAACCAGAGCAGCCTCTGTCAGACCAGTGCTAGCACAATACAATGGAGCTCACCCAACGTCCTTTGGTACCGAGACCTCACAGCAGCCTGAGAGGCTTGAATGCAAAATGGATCCCCCTGGCACTGTCTGTAACCAGATGAATGTAGGAAAATCACAGACAAAAGGACAGTAACATCAGCTGAGTTATTTATAGAGTCACAGAATAAAGGATAGTAACATCAGCTGAGTTATTTATAGAGTCACAGAGTAATTTGAGTTGGAAGGGACCTTAAAGGTCACCCAGTCCAACCTCCTGCAATGGGCAGGGACAGTTTCAACTACGTCAGATTCCTCAGAGCCCGGTTCAACCTGGCCCTGAATGTTTCCATGAACGGGGCATCCACCACCTCTCTGGGCAACCTGTGCCTTCATTTCACCATGCTATATTTAAAAAATTCTTCCTTATATTTAATATTAATCAACTCTCTTCTCATTTCAAACCATCACGCCTGTCCTGTTACTACAGGCCCTGCTAACGTTTGTCCCCATCTTTCTCACTGGCACTCTCTAAATGCTGAAAGACCTTCAAAGTGGAAGCGAGTGTTGAACAACAGACTGTATGGCAGCTGGTAAATAGTATATACTCTAAAATGTCCCTTGGGATGAGGAAAGAGGGATGAGAGAACATCTTTTAATTATCTTGTGTGCATTCTGACTTAATTCTCAGGAAATTAAGCCCCAAGGAGACTCGAGAGGGCAGCTGCAATACCATGGCCTGTAATCATCTCAGGCCTGGGAATGTGAACAGAGCCAGAGGAGTGGATTGTCAGCAGAGCTACAGGAGAGCCCAATAGGAAGGGGACCTGGACAGCGGTCCTTGAATTTGCCCTGGCTTTGGAAACAGTCCCTTCCCCCAGACAACAGGGTGACACTGTACAGTCTTACTGGAGGTGCTGACATCTCTGTTGGAAAACTTTCTTCCCCACTTCTTGCCTTCATAAAAACATTAATGAGATTTTTTTTGTTTGCATAAAAGGAGCCTCTTCAAACTGATTGTCTAAATCCCTTGAAGTAATTACATCACCATTATTCATATTGCACTGCTTATTTTGAGCACAGGAACACATGGTGTTGGGAGGTCTGTATATAAACCCCCCAAACTGAGTTTTAGTGGAGGCTGTATCTATTTCTGGCTTTGCTGTAATATATCCCACCTGTTACAAAAGTCACTTGATAAAGTAGATTTCAGTATCCCCGTTGCTTCATAGTCACAGTACATAAGTGATAGGGAAGAAGCCAGCTCAGTAGTTAAATATTTGTGTTAATTTTTAATAAGCTGAACAAAATGTTCTTACGAGTCAAAGGTTAGGAAGTGAAGTCTTCCCTCAGCAGTTTGGCAGGCAAACCTGTTGTAGAGTTGGTATCAGTGCCTGTAGGTGGCATAACTGCAGCATGGAATCGTAGTGCTACAACTTATCTGCAGCACTTGGTCTGTTTGGCAGCTTGTAGGTTTGCAGAAAAGTTGAAGCCAGATTTTTTTTTTTTTTTTTTGCTTACACTAGAGTGCTTATTAGATAACATCCCAAGATTGGTTTATATTTTAGACGACATAAAGCATATTAAACATCTCTGATTTTGCTTGTAAGTCCGGAATGGTAGTTTTCTTTCTGTCTATTCTTGAAAAACCTTGGAGGGCCTTCAAAATAAACCACCCTTTATTGCACTCCACATCACCAACTTGAGTCACAAAGTAGGAAAGATCTGATTTTCTTACAATGCAAAAGAACCAAACCTCCAGCCTGTAACCTGGATGAACTGCTGACCTATCCTAAAGGATCCCAAGGGAATTTGCCAATGACTCCATTGTTGTCCTAAAAATAGGAATCTCTTCCAAGTCACTCTGGTACATTTCTTCTCTGCTTCCATTCAGCCAATTGCAGATTATCCTTGACAGGAGTAAGGAGCCACTGAAGGCCAATTAAACACGGCAAACATACTGCATGGCTAGAACAGAACTAGCACAAGTCACCTTTGACAAGGCTTTGTTGGAAATTGGCTATTAGGAAAATCAAATTTGTGTGAATTTCTGTAGAGTAAATACAAGCACCTGCCACAGATAATTGCGTGTACACTCTGTGTTAATAAAACAAAAAATATGTAATATTCTCATTGCTGTTTGGAGAATTGCTGTTGACCGTCATTTCTGGGCACATCTATGATGGTCATAGTTGGCTGAACAACTTTATTAATCTTGTCAAGCCTGAGAACTTTTAAAGATATGTACAAAATATTTTTTTCCCTAGGAAAATAATAGAAGAAATAATAAAATAACTTCTTTTTTAAATTTTTGGCCTTTTTCCTCTCTGTGTTCCAGTTTTTCCATCTCCTAAATTATGTCAAATTCACTCTGCAGGCATGTTGAAAAGTTTTAATAATAGATAGGAAGTGTGCTGAGATCCTTGGCTGGAGGATGCTCTGTAAATATAAAATGTTACGGTTAATAATGCAGATCTAAGTTGTGGCATGAATTACAAAGGGTGCCAGGAGGCAAGCCCAGAGCTTTCCAAGCAAACTTCATGGTAAAACATGCCTGAAATTCACATTTGCGCTCTGAGTGGAAAACCTTGTGATCATTGAGCAGTCATGAAGTTCATAC